TTTTCTATTTTCCTACTTTTCGTTTTTCAAGTTGTCTATTTGAAATGTTTTGATTTTTTCAGTTGCGGTTTTCCATTTTTCGATTTTCAGACATCTGAATTTTTTCATTTTTTTTCAATTTTCGGTTTTTCAATTTTTCGACTTTTTAATTTTAAATATTTTCATTATTCATTTCCCCGATTTTTTGATTTTTAATTTTTAGATTTACGATTTTTTTAGTTTTCGATTTTAATTTTTCAGTTTATCGATATTTAAACTTTCTAATTTTTCAATTTTTCGATTTTTCGGTTTTTGGGTTTTTATTATTATTAATTAAATTAATCTTTCGTTTCCATAATTGTTCGATTTGCAGTTTTTAGAGTCGTTGATTTAAAATATCTCATCTTTTTTTTAATCGTTAAAATTTTCAATTTATTAATTTTTTATTTTTTCAATGTTTCAATCACTGATTCTTTAATAAATTTCAATTTTATAATTATTCAATTTTTTAGTTTTCAAATCTTCAAATTTTCGATTTAAAATTTTACGGTTTTGCAGTTTTTCAATTATTCAATTCAGCGATTTTTAATTTTTCGTTTTTTCAGTTTCTCAATTTTGCTTTCATTTTTTTTTTTTCGTTAATGGTTCAATTTTTTTAAATTTCATGTTTTCAATGTTTCAGTTTCTCGATTTTTAATTTTTCGTTTTTTCAATTGTTTGATATTTCGATTTTCTAAAATTTTTCAGTCTCTGAATTTTTAATTTTTCGGTTTTTTGATTTTTGAATTTTTTAGTTCTTCAATTTTTCGATTTGGAATTTTTCGGTTTTACAGTTTTCCAATTTTTCAATTTTTTCAATTTTTCAGTTTCTCAAGCTTATATTTTTCGTTTTTACAGTTTTTCAATTTTTCAATTTCTCGTTTGTTGTTTTTCGAATTTTCAATTATTCGATTTGCAAATTCTTGGAATATTCAATTACAAATTTTTCAGTTTTTCAGTGTTTCAACTTTTGAATTTTTCAGTGTCTCGATTTTTTATTTTTCATTATTTAAATTTCGTCAATTTTCTTGATTTTACGATATTGCAATTTTAGAATTTTAAATATCAGATTTTTCAATTTATATTTCTACTATTTTTCGATTCTACATTTTCTCAAATTTTCAATTTCTTGATTCTTCAATTTTCCAGCACTTCGAATTTTCATTTTTTCTGTTTAAAATGTTTTGATTCTTTAATTTTGTGTTTATTATTCTCTGGATTTTCCTCTTTCTCAATTTTATAACTTTTAATTTTTAATTTTTAAATTTTACGATTGTTCAAGTTTCCCGGTTTTCCACGAATTTTCAGTTTCTGAATTTTTAATTATTTTATTTTTCCATTTTTCGATCTTTAAACATCTCAATTTTTCAATTTCTTTAATTTTTCGATTTTTCATTTTTTCGTCTTTTCAGTTTTTCAGTTTCCCGATTTTGCAATATTGCAGTTTTAAATTTCCAATTTTTTATGATTTTTCGAATTTTCATTTCAGTGTTTCGATTTCCAGTTTTACAATTTTTCAGTTTTTCAATTTTGATTGCATTTTTTTTTTCGTTAATTGTTCAAACTTTAAATTTATTAATTTTTCATTTTATTGGTGTTTCAGTTTCTCCATTTTTAATTTTTCGTTTTTTTAACTGTCTGATTTTTCAGTTTCTCGATTTTCCACAATTTTTCAGTTTCTGATTTTTTAATATTTCAATTTTTAATTTCTAGATATTTTAATTTTTCGATTTTATCAATTTTTCAGTTTATGGATTTTTAATTTTTCGAATTTTCAATTAATCGATTTGCAATTCTTCAAATGTCCAATTACGAATTTTTCAATTTTTCGGTCTTTAAAGTTTTGAATTTTTCATTTTTTCAGTTTACCAATTTTCCGATTTTTCCTTTTTTCGTATTTCCAATTTTTCAGGTTGAAATATTGCAATATTTCGATTGTTTAATTTTAGTTTTTAAATATTTTGATTTTTCGATTTTTTTTATTTATAATTTTTACACTTTTCATTTTTTTAATTTTTAATTTTGCTTTCTTGTAATTGTTCAAATTTTCAACTTTTCAGTTTCTCGATTTTTAATTTTTCGATTTTCAATTTTTCAGTTTTTCATTCCAGATATTTTAATTTTTAGATTTTTCGGTTTCGTCAATTTTATTGCTTGTACAATATTGCAGTTTTTGGATTTTAATTATGAGATTTTTCAACTTTTTATTTCTACCATTTTTCGATTTTTTTTAATTTTTCAGTTTCTGGATTTTTAATTTTTCGAATTTTCAATTAATCAATTTGCATTTCTTCAAATGTTCAATTACGAATTTTTCAATGTGTCACTATTTAAAGTTTTGAATTTTTTATTTTTTCGGTTTACCAATTTTCCGATTTTTCATTTTTTCGCATTTCCAATTTTTCAGGTTGGAATGTTGCAGTGTTTCGATTGTTCAATTTTGATTTTTTTGTTTTTCATTTCAATCCTTCAACTTTTTAATTTTTCAGTTTCTCGATTTTTAATTTTTCGTTATTTCAATTTCGTCAATTTTCTTGATTTTACGATATTGCAATTTTTGGATTTCAATTATCAGATTTTTCACATTTTTATTTCTACTGTTTCTCGATTCTACATTTTGTCAATTTCTTGATAGATTAATTTTTTGTTTTTTCCAATTTTCGATTTTTTAAGTTCTCTATTTATAAAATGTTTGGAATTTTTAATTTTTTATTTTTTATTCTCTGAATTTTCCACTTTCTCAATTTTTTATTTCCACGAATTTTCAGTTTCTGAATTTTTAATTATTTTGTTTTTCCATTTTTCGATTTTTAAACATCTTTCATTAGTTTTTAATTTTTCGATTTTTCAGTCTTCACATTTTTCAAATTTTCGATTTTTCATTACTCGTTTCCCTGATTTTTTGATTTTAATTTTTAAATGAACTTTTTTTAAGTTTTCGTTTTCAAATTTGCAGTTTTCGAATTTTTAAATTCTTCGATTTTTCAGTTTTTATAATTATTATTTTAATCTTTCTGTTCCATAATAATTGTGCAATATTTCGAGTCGTCAGTTTAAAATATCATTTAACAATTTTTTGAAATGAGGTCATCTATTTTCTACCAGGGATGAGTAAATAAACCCTCGCACTATTATAAACACAATTCTCTCAAACAAAATAAACAAACACAAAATTTGCAATAACCTGTCAAACAACAAAAAAACAAACTATAAAAAAATTTGTGCAAGTACCCAGAAATGTCACCGACCATAAACGCAAAACAAATAATTAAAACACACAACACCCTCGTATCAGAATCAAAATTAGGAACTTTTCGAGCAAAATTACGCAAAACTTGTGTACATACACAAACACGTAACAATGCAGTGTGTGCAAATAGAAAGCTTTCTTTTCATTACCGGCAAGCAAACCAGGTTTATACTTTATTGTTTAAATAATCAGATGATGATTACAGCCACTCTAATTTTGCATAAACAATTTTCCTGAAAAAAAATTTCAAAAGTGTTTATCTAACATTGAACAAGTCTGACATTTAATTTGTTATTCACCAAAATAAAAACACAAATTTATAAGACTTGTTTTCCGTCGATTTACCCAGTTTTTCTAGTTAAAACTCAAATTAGACTCTGGTACTTAATTTCCACCGTCATTAAAAATGTGTGACACCTCAACAAAAACTAATCTATCGCATGTTCAGCTTCAATAACGTGACTCAGTGCTTTTTCTTGAGATCCGCCACAAAAAAAAAAAACAAAAATTCCAAATGTCACGACACCTTCTCCACGTTCTAGGTTTAAGGACGCAAAGTCAAAACTCCAACACACCTCAATTGTTCAAACACTCCAACCAGACCCCAATTTTGACCAAATTACTCCAAATTTGTAAAGCAATCGACTGCGATTCCGCAAGCTTCAACAGCGTAACTAGATTTTGACCAAAGGTCAACACATCTTCAGAACACAACATTCTGTTTCTTTATTTACAACGGTAATTGTGAAACTACACTTAAGCAACAACTTTATTAATTTTAGCTAATTGCTAATTTGCTGCAAAGTTCGCCACTAAAGAACAAGAAACCTGTACTCATCGACACCTCCACAGGCAAAAAGCAACCTTCACCTAGAAATCTCCGAACGTAAACAAAGCGAAAACCGAGAAAATTAAACCAAATTCTGGGTGATGGTTAACTAATTCCTGGCGCAATTAATTTCGTGGTGCAACGATGTTCCATAACAGTTATTGTCACAAAATTTGTGGATGAATTAGGGGGGCGATGTGGGGATGGCGTAGGTATATATAGAACGTTATACGTTGGATCTAATGCATATTCTCTCATCACCATCTCATCATCATAATGAAGACGGTGAGTACGGTTTTGTTCGTTCGGAGTGTGGGTGGGTGGTCTTATTGTTCGGGATTTAATAATAATTGTTATTAGTTCACAAATCTGTTGGGTAAATTTGTTACATAATGGTCGCATCTGAATGAAGTAATGTTTATATAATGAGTTTCGATTTCGTTCCAGACGCTTATCGCTTTGGCCATCTTTGGCTTTGTGGCTGGAAGGCCCCAAAATCCTCAAGATGCCTACATCGTCCGGTACGACAACGACAATGGAGGGTTCGGAGGGTACTCGTTCAAGTAAGTCGGAGTTAGACTTTTTCTAGTTGTGTGGTGCTATGTTCACTTGTCAACCACTTGTATTTTATTTTTAATTTGCATTAAGAAAAATGCAACTCTTGTTATAATTTCCTAACAGAAGTATTACTTAAATCTTGAGTGCAAATGTGCAACATGACATTAACAGATGAAGTAATTTCATAAGTGGAAGCCAATAAAAATCAAACTATAACCATAAAATTTTTAAGATTACAAATTGGTATCGATTTCCAAATAAATTTTACTCCATCTTCACTACCACAAGCCAAATCGTAGAAGCAAGTTTTTCATACTAAAAAAATTCTAGTTCTAGTGTACATACTCAAATCAAATTTCCAGTTTTTCCCGAACTTAGCACACTTTCTTTGCCCCGAATCACGCCATTGACCTTTCACTTTCAGCGTGGAGACCAGCGACGGCTTCAGGCACGAACAGACCGGGGAACTGAGAAGCGTGGACCAGGAAGGCGAAACCATCGTGATGAAGGGGTCCTACTCCTACGTGGGTCCTGACGGGGTGACCTACACTGTGGTGTACATCGCCGACGAGAACGGCTTCCAGCCGGAGGGCGAGCACATCCCGGCGTCCGCGGGAGTGAAGAAACTGGGGATCCCGTCGGCGGCGCAGGCGTCGCTCATCGGGGGCGGCTTGGGTTAACCCCGCCTTTTTTTGCCATCTGAGACTGTGTAAATAATAAAGACTTTTGTAATAGTTTGGGTTTTACTGAATTCCGCATGGTCATATTCTTTTATCAGTTTATCACCTTCCAATCATCGTAATGCACACGGTGGTAATTTTTTCGATGGGTGTTATTAGTTCAAAAATCTGTTGAGTAAATTTTCTTACGTAATGGTCTCATCCGAATAAAGCGGTGTTTGCATAATGAGTTTCATCACAAGGTTGGAATTCGTTACAGAGGTTCGTCGTTTTGGCTATCTTTGGCTTGGAGTTGGAAGGTCTCGGAGTCCACAAGATGTCTACGTCGTACGGTATGATAACGACAATGCGGCTTGGAGAGTACTCATTCAAGTAAGTACGTTCGACTTTTCATGACCCCTAGAGTACGAAGAAATAAGTCTTCCGTTTCCGCCTGTCTGTCCGTCTGTCTGTCTGCCGTCACGATTTTTATTAGACAGATAATCTTCGAAAGTACTGGGCCGATAGTTGTCAAATTTTGTATTTGTATTAGAAATATCATGTAGATGGTAAAACGCTAACCAAAATTTGCCTAGTCATCGCCACCAATAATGTGATGACATCACTTCAAAATTGTACTTAAATGGGTTTTAAATTGTATGAAATAACATAGTCCTATATATGTAGTTTATGATTCCGTATTGAGTTTTTACCTGTCCAGATAAATGTTTAATCAAAATATATTTACTTATCCGATTATCCGATTTTGCCGATAAATTGTACCCAGAATGTGCAAAGTATGATGAGTTTTTACTTGTGATTTATCGTTGTATTCATATTTTTTAGATTTGATTTCTCATTACAAAATTGTGTAAAGAAAAATTCAACTCGAAAATGCTGGATATGTTTCATTGTACTTCAGGAGCGCGGGAAGTTCGGTCTAGACAACTTTCGACCAATTTTTTTGATTTCTCAGTTTTTGGATGGTTTAGTTTCGGGATTTTTTAGATTTTCTTCCATTTTTGAATTTTTCGAAATTTTAGTTTTGGGATTGTTCTAATTATTTTTATTAGTCAATTTTCCGATTTTGCAGTTTCTCCATCTTTCAATTTCTGGATTTTCAATTTTTCGATTTTTCAGTTGATTTTTCAATTTTCGAAATTTCAATTTTGGGATTTTTCAGATTATTTATTATTCAATTTTTCGATTTTACAATTGCTCAATTTTCAATTTCTTGAATTTCAATTTTTGGATTTCTCAATTGGCCGATGTTTCAGTTTTAGGTTTTTTCAATTTTTCTCTTGAATTTTACCATTTTTAAATATTTAGATTTTTCAGTTTTTAACTTTTGACTTAACTAAATTTTCAATTTTTCCATTTTTCAATGAACTGATTTTCCTATTTCTTGACTATCGACTGTTTTGACTTCTCCAATTCTTCAATTTTTCGATTTTTCAGGTTTTTCATTTTTTAGTTTTTCGATTTCTCAATTTTTCAATTTTTTAAATTCTCAGGTTTTGGACATTTCAGTTTTGGGACTTTTCAGTTTTTCCATTTTTGAGTTTTCCTTTCACTTTTTAGTTTTGAGATTTTTCAATATTTCGATTCCTTGACTTTTCAATTTTTGACTTGTGGGTTTATCGATGTGTCGATTTTTTACCTTTCGATTTTTCTATTTTTCGATTTTAAATTTTAGATTTTTCGATTTCTCGATTTTTCATTTCAGATCTTAGTTATTTCAGTTTTTCAAGCTTTCGAATTTTTCAAATTTTTCGATTTCTTACATTTTCGATTTTTTAATTTTCATTTTTTAAATTTTTCGATTTTTCAATGTTTTTATTTAGTATTTCAGTTTATAACTTTTAGATTTTTTATTTTGGCCTCTTTCGGTTTCTCTAGTTTTCGAATTCATGACTTTTCGATTTTTCGATCTTCTGATTTTTTGATTTCTCGGTTTTTACGATATTTTAATTTTTCATTGTTTTAGATTTTAGATTTTTCGACTTTTCCATTTTTCAGTTTTTTTAATTTTTTAAATTTTGACGTTTTTGAATTTTCGGTTTTCCGATTTCACAATTAATCCATTTTTTGATTTTCCCATTTCTCGACTTTGCAAAGTTTCGATCTTTCAGTTCTTCAGTTCAAGTTTCCGATATTTCAGGTTTTTGATTTTCCAATTTTTCTATTTTTTAAGTCTGCGATTTTTCGACTTTGCTTTTTTGACTTTCCGATTCTTCAATTTTTCTTTTTTTTTTCAAGTTTTTATTATTTGAGTTTTGAGATTTTTTAGTATTTCGACTTTTCGATTTTTGGAGTTCTGGATTTTTCGATTTCTCGACTTTCCACTTTTTGAATTTTCAATTTTTCGTTTTTTAAACTAACCATCTTTCAATTTTTCGACTGTTTTATACTTCGATTTTTCAATTTTTCAACTTTTCGATATTTTATTTTTTCAATTTTTAAAATTCTAGGGTTTTCGATTTCTCGCGTTTTCTCTATTCAATTTTCCGAAATTTTTATTTTTCGATTTTCCAATTTTTCTTTTTTCAAATTTTCGGTGTTTCGATTGTTCAATTTGTCGATTCATCAATTTTTCAATTTTTAATTTTTCTTCTCGGCTTTCGACTCCTCGATTTCTCGATTCTCTGATTTCTCGATTTCTCGATGTCTCAGTTTTTGAATTTTTCGATGTTTCGATTTTTTGATGTCCCGATTTTTCGATTTTTGACTTCTGGGCTTTTCAATTTTTCGATGTTTCGATTTTTGAGTTATTTAATTTTTCAATTTTTTAAATTCTCGAGTTTCGATTTCTGGATTTGTCGATTTTTCAGTTTTTCGATTTTTAAATTTTAGATTTTCGAAGTTATATTTTTGGATTTTTTAATGTTCGGATTTCTGGATTTTCCAGTTTTACAATTTTTTAATTGTTAAATGTTTTAAATTTTAAAGTTTTCGATTTCTCGAATTTTTATTTTTCAGTTCTTCAGTATTTCTATTTTTTCAAATTCTGACGTTGCTAAATTTTCAGTTTTCCGATTTTTCAGTGAATCTATTTTTGAGTTTCCCATTTCTCGACTTCTCCTAGTTTCGATTTTTCAGTCCTTCGATTTTTCGACTTTGCTTTTTCGGTTTTTCGATTTCCCAATTTTCCTATTTTTAAATTTCTCAATTTTTGGATATTTTTCAGCTTTGGCATTTCTCAAGATTTCGTTTCGACTTTCCAATCTTTCGACTTCTGGATTTTCTGATTTTTCGATGTTTCTTCTGTTTTAAATTTCCTCTTCTCAATTTTTCAACTTTTCGATATTTTAATCCTTGCAACTTTTAAAATTCTAGATTTTTCGACTCCTCGATTTCTCGTTTTTTTTAATTTTTTAACTTCTCCATGTCTCAGTTTTTGAATTTTTCGATGTTTCGATTTTTCTGTTTGTCGGTTTATCGATTTTTTACTTTTCGGCTTTTCGATTTGTCGATGTTTCGATTTTTGAATTATCTGATTTTTCCATTTTCCAATTTTCTGATTGTCGAGTTTCCATTTCTCGATTTGTTCATTTTGCAGTTTTTCGATTTATAAATTTTAGATCTTCGAATTTTAATTTTTTTTATTTTTTGGTTTGGATTTCTCCATTTTCCAGTTTTACGATATTTAAATTTTTCCATGTTTTAAATTTTCAGTGTTCCGATTTGTCAATTAATCAATTTTTTAATTTTTCCCACTTCTCGACTTTCCAAAGTTTCGATCTTTCAGTTTTTGAGTTCTTCAAATTTTCGATATTTTAGGTTTTTGATTTTTCAATGTTTCGCTTTCTTAAGTTTGCGATTTTTCGACTTTGCTTTTTTGACTTTTCGATTTCTCAATTTTTCAGTTTTTTAATTGCCCAATTTTTGGATATTTCGTTCAATTTTGTGATTTTCCAGTTTTTCGATTTCTCAATTTTTCTTGTATTTTTCAACTTTTCGATATTTGGGCTTTGGGATCTTTTAGTATTTCGACTTTTCGATTTTTCGAGGTCTGGATTTTTTGATTTCTCGACTTCTTACTTTTTAAATTTTCAATTTTCCATTTTTTTTTTCGAATCTCCATTTATCGATTTTTCAATCATCGGATTGTTCAATTTCCCGATTTTTAAATTCCAGATTTTCAAAGTTTTACTATTTAATTTTTTCATGGTTGATTTTCTCGATTTTACAGGTTTTCGATATTTGATCTTCGAATTTTAATTTTTTTTATTTTTTGGTTTAGATTTCTCCATTTTTCAGTTTTACGATATTTTAATTTTTTAATTTTTCAAATTTTGACGTTTCGTTCAATTTTGTGATTTTTCAGTTTTTCGAATCTTCAATTTTTCTTGTATTTTTCAAGTTTTTGATATTTAAATTTTGGAATTTTTTAATATTTCGACTTTTCGATTTTTCGTGGTTTGAATTTTTCGATTTATCGACTTATTACTTTTTGGATTTTCAATTTTTTCAACTTTTCGATATTCTAACTTTTCAGTTTTTAAAACTGTAAGTTTTTCTGTTCCTTGGGTTTTCAACGCTTCTACGGTTCAATTTTTCCATTTTCAAATTTTGGCGTTTCAGAATTTTCAGTTTTCCGATTTCTTAATTAATCTATTTTTTATTTTCCCATTTCTCGATTGTCCAAACTTTCGATCTTTTAGTTCTTGAGTTCTTAAAATTTTCAATATTTTAGGTTTTTGATTTTTCAATTTTTCGATTTCTCAATTTTTCAATTTTTTAATAGCTCAATTTTTGGATATTTCGTTCAATTTTGTAATTTTTCAGTTTTTCGATTCTTCAGTTTTTCTTGTATTTTTCAAGTTTTCGATGTTTGAGTTTTGAGATTCTTTAGTATTTCGACTTTTAAATTTTTCGAGGTCTGGATTTTTCGATTTCTCGACTTCCTACTTTTTGGATTCTCAATTTTTCGACTGTTTTATACTTCGATTTCTCAATTTTTCAACTTTTCGATATTCTAGCTTTTCAGTTTTTAAAATTTTAGGCTTTTCGATTTCTCGAGTTTTCAGTTCTTGATTCTTCAGTTCTATTTCAATTTTTCTATTTTCAGAATTTTTAAATTTTCGATTTTCCAATTTTTTTTTTCGAATCTCCAATTTTTCGATATATCGATTTTTCAAACGGATTGTTCAATTGTCCGATTTTTAAATTTTGGATTTTCAAAGTTTTATTTTTTTAATTTTTTCGTGTTTGGATTTCTCGATTTTACAGTCTTTCGATATATTCTTCGGATTTAATTTTTTTGATTTTTTGGTTTAGATCTCTCCATTTTCCAATGTTTGATATTTTAATTTTTCCATGGTTTAAATTTTAGACTTTTCGACTTTTCGATTTTTCAGTTCTCCAATATTTTTTAAATTTTCAGTTTTCCGATTTCTCAATTAATCTGTTTTTTAATTTTCCCATTTCTCGACTTTCTAAAGTTTCGATCTTTCAGTTCTTGAGAGTTCTTCAAATTTTCAATATTTTAGGTTTTTGATTTTTCAGTTTTTCGATTTCTTAAGTTTGCGATTTTTCGTTCAATTTTGTGATTTTTCAGTTTTTCGATTCTTCAATTTTTCGACTTTTCGATATTCTAACTTTTCAGCTTTTAAAATTGTAGGTTTTTCGATTTCTCGAGTTTTCAATGCTTCTATATTTCAATTTTTCCATTTTCAGAGTTTTTTTCGATTTTCTATTCTTTTTTTATTTTTCGATTCTCCAATTTTTCGATGTATCGAATCATCCGATTGTTCAATTTCCCGATTTTTAAATTTTAGATATTAAAAGTTTTCTTTTTTAATTTTTTCATGTTTGGATTTCTCGATTTTACAGTTTTCTGATATTTGAATTTTTCAGTGTTTTCAATTTTAGATTTTTCGATTTCTCCAATATTTCTATTTTTCAATTTTGTTTAATTTTGCCATCTTGATTTTTCTAATTTTAAAATTTTTCGATTTTTCAACATAATCAGTTTTGGAAACTTTTCAATCTGTTTTTTTTTTTAATTTTTCAATACATATTTTAATTTTTCGATCATTGAGAGCTTTTTAACTATGTCGCGTTACTGCTAAAACTAAAAAATAACTGCCAAAATTGTGACTAAAAATATGTAAATATTAATACAAAATAGAACACAATGCTTCTTAAACATAAAAATAATTGCACTTTCTATAGCATCTAAACAATAACTATTTCCCGCAGAAAGTCTGAACGCTTAGAGTCGACAATGGCCTGAGCGCGTTCCGGTCTGTCGATCAAACAAGTTCTCAACTGACGAATTAAGTTTACGTTTAAGTCTAAGAAATTTTTTTTTTCAACTACGAAGATAAAACTCAATTCCTCTCCTCGCCACTTAGAAACTGATTGAAAACGTTAGCATGCACCAATACGATGGAACCCTCCAAAATGTGATCAGCCACATTTTTAATAAAAATAAATTCGGAAAAACTTTCACTGTCTTCAAAAGTAACAACAACATTACTGGTTTTACATTCGTTAAAATCAAACGCCTTCACGTCGTCTTTCAGAATGGCGATGGGTTTTTCAGGACCAAGCGAAAAATTCTCAATCGAGTTGACCGCTTTCTCTTTCAACATTTCAACCAACTCATCTCTGTCAGTCTCCTCTTTAATTTCCACGTCTTCGTCGTCGTCGTCGTCTTTACTCAATCTGTTCGAAACCACTTTGCAATTTTTGATGTTGGTCAAATCGACAGTCTCGAGATTCTTCCCCTTTTTCCCTCTGCCCCCTTTTTTAGCAGGCGTCTTGGTTTCTTCGCTCTTCGGTTTTCTCCCATTTTAGCCGGCGTCTTCTTCACTTCAAAACTCTCCTCCTCCCTCATTTCTTCGTCGCTTTGTATCTCCTCCTTGGATTCAATCAACTCGTGCACCTCTTCTTCGATCTCATCCTTCACCTGAGTGTCTTCGAAAGTCTTTCGTTTCTTCCCTCTGGCTTTCTTTGTTTTCTTCACCGCACCTGGATCATCCTCCTCTTCACTCTCCCCCATGTCAAAGTCTTCCTCATCGAACTCACTGTCCTCATCGCTGGAGTCAGTTTCTTCTTCAGACTCTGAATCTTTGTTTTTTCTGCGCTTTCTCCCACCTGCTCCGTTCGAAATGGGGCCCTTTCTCTTGATGAACTTCTTGTTACCTTCAGGGTGATTAGCAATGATCGTGCTCAACTGAGATATACTTAGAAGGTCCTGACGCTTGGACCCGTCATCCTTCCCATCCTTCGAGTTCTTCTTTGTGTTGAAAATGTTTCTCAGAGTCATGTACTGCTGCAAGTGCCAATCCAGCTGGGTCTCAAAATCTTTGATGATGAGTTTCGTGTTCTCCAGACACTTGCGAGTGTTGTCCATCTCCACTTGGGTGAAATAGGAGATGTCCTCGCAGTCGCTATCCTCGTGGGACCCGTTACTCACGGTGAACTCCTTCGGGATGATCGGCGGTTCGATGGAGTCCAGCGGGTCTGTGGACTCTTTCTTCATGTCAAAGTCTTCCTCATCGAACTCACTATGCTCATCACTGAAGTCAGTTTCTTCTTCTGACTCTGAATCCTTATTTTTTCTGATAAATAAAAAATGACATTGACTGTAACGAATATCATTGTTCCTTTTTTTATTATAATCAAAAATATATCTAGGTTTAATATAATTCTTCGACAAAATTGAATTTTCCCAACTTAGCACACTTTCTTTGCCCCTAATCACCCACCTTTCATTTTCAGCGTGGAAACCAGTGACGGCTTCAGGCACGAACAAAGCGGACAACTGCGAAACGCGGGCACCCAAACCGAACCTTCGTAACAAAGGGCTCTTACTCCTACCCCAGCCCTGACGGAGCGACTTACTCCGACGTCTACATCCCCCCGCGTCCAGGGGACAAAAAACTAATATCCCTCCTCGGGTGAAGCTGTTAATCACTACCAGAGAGCGCTACCGTACAGACATTCAATAAAGACCTTTATTAATATTCCGAGTTTTATTGCCTGCCGCATTCTCTCGTCATTACCGACGTTTATTGACTCGAAGATTTTTATTGTTTGAGCAGGATGTGGGTTATGTAAGTTTGACGTTTGACCCTACTTTCGATGGTCTCTGTGGTCTCATTTACTCCCGTGCACGTCAGGATGGTTTTCCGTGGAGCAATTGATGGTCGGTTATCTAACCAGCGTTTGGTATTTGAGTTGTGCAATGAGTAATGATGGTAGAGAAAAAATTCTTAATGGAGGTGTTCGTGGAGGAACGAGGAGGAAAAATCGTGACCTTTGCCTAATTTAACTTCGGCGTGTTGGGTTTGTTCAAGGACGCTAACAATGCGACGAGTTTCACAGGAGATTTTATCTACACATTTTCTCACCTGTTGGTGGTTTACTAAACAAAAAATTAGACAAGTTGTAATGTCATAAGCGTGTTCTGGGTCATCCTAAAATAGCACGTTTCGTGCCGTGGTTTTTCCAGAGTCGATATTAATAATAATATAATAAAAATTAAGTGTCTAATTTTGTAAGAAATCGTAAAAGACTGTAGGATGATATTTCATTCATTGTTCAAATTAATGAAACTGATTGTGTAAGCTCGCACTTCGAAGAATCATACAAATGTCACATAGTTACAAAAACGTGTTACTATCTCCGGATAGTATATGAAGAACATCGGTTATTAATAGATGAAGAAATTCGCAGAATATATCACAAACGGAATATTGCTCAATAAAAATTTCGAATGACTATCTACATAATCATTTCCAATTTTCTGTAATTTGACTGGAGTGATGAAGTCTGTGAAATATTTTTAATGAGTAAATGCCAGCGGGCTAAATTACACCTGTAATTAGAATGCGATTACGTTTCCTAACTGCAATTTTTTTAGAAACTTTTAATTTTCTGCAAGTAGTAGATAAATATATATCGTTAGCGTAACAAGCCAACAAACGTAAAAAAGGATAAACACTAAACAAATTGTTGGAGTTTCCAGAAACACCAGAAAATGCTGTATCAAAGTGTACAAAAATTGTTACTTATGTAATAAACTTAACATAATAAATTTTACATTAATTACATATCATAATTCATTCAAATATATTTAAATGAATGCAAAGTGTGTACGGAATGTACGATGGTCCTAAAATGAGTTTAGACAAAACAAAATTTATTCCGGTAAAAGATCATACCTTGAGCATCAATCACAATGCACAATAGCGGTATTTCCTGGTAAAAGTCCTCAATCTTGAAACGTCACTACCCATCGGTGTATTTTTAAGTGTGTGAAAACGCCAAACAAAGATTAGGTAATACGACATTACTGTAGAGAAGTGAGAAAACAATAAAAAAATGCTCCCAACTTGTCTATTTTAATAATATTTTGTAACTAATCTAGATTCTGCAAGAAAGTGATGCAAGTGCAACTATTAAGCCTCTGAATGAATCTCGAAATCTCATATTTCAAAATCAGGACGATGGGGGATGCTTTGCTAAAACGTATAAATGTATTCTTCTAATTAATCAATTTAGTAGACAACAATCAACCATCATGAAGGTAGCAACATCCAGTATAGTGATTGTGTTTATTGTAATTGTTGTGTTTTAGTTTCTTTTGATCGTATCTGGGATTTTTGGTGTAGTGATGTCGCAGAATCCGTACCATCAGGCTTACACCGTCAGGTACGACAATGATAATGACGGGTTGGGACAGTACCGGTTTGGGTAAGTACTATTAAAGTAAAATAAAGTGGGTTTATTGAGTTAATTTTTTGTAGTTTTGAAACTAGTGATGGCTTTAGACATGACCAAAGTGGCCAATTACAAAACGTAGGTACCGAGAACGAAGGGATAGTTATGAAAGGGTCTTATTCCTACATAGGCCCTGATGGGGTTACCTACACTGTGTATTACACGGCCGACGAAAATGGGTTCCACCCAGAGGGAGCACACATACCACAATCCGCAGGAGTTGGTAAAGCTGGTAACCTTCTCTAGTTTGTTTTACGAAGAGAGATAATGAATTACTAGTCACAACAATTTATGCCAAAACGTGACACTACATCAACGAGCGAAAGCATGAAGTAGTATTATTTTTATACTTTTTTACTTATGTTAATTTAGTCAAAATTTTGTACTTAATTTTATTAATAAAGACGGACGTTTTTGCTATTTTTTCTTTTATTGTAAAATTTGGGGTAAATAGGGGGTGAGTAAAAGCCATTGAAGTTTAATACTGATTTATTTAATAATGTCGAACCTATTTATACAACTACAATTTACAGTGTATTCATTTCAACGAGGTCATCTGAAAATAAAAAAAGAATGAGACGTGAGACTGCAATGACTGCATTCTCATTCATTCACTCTGTATATTAATTTGGGTCCTAGGCAACCAGTAATACTCACGCAGTCTTGCGGAATTCCGCTACCTGCAAAAAATTTGGAAACGTAGAGGACTTTTTCTGAGACCTGAAAATTAGAAAACGTTGCCGTTGACGTTCCAATCAAATTGCGGTAGTGTGCAGTGCTGCCAACCTGAAGGAAAATCCCCGAAAGTCGAGGAGACATCGGGAAACTACTATCGATTTTGCAATTACGCTCCGGTCCTCGATCTGACAACGAATGAAAAAAATCTTCAGAATTGAGAGAGGGTGGGCGGTATGTTTATGCAGAGTATATTTTTCTGTTAAAAATTATATTTTATTTTTTTTACTGAAGTTTTAATGTATGTAAAGTACTTTTATTGTGATGTCATTTTATAAAATGTTATTATTTTGTAGGTATATAAACATTATGGTTATGTAGAGTGTTTCGTTTTTTATATTTTCAATAAAAATTACTTCTTTTACAGCATAAATGTGTTTTATTTTATTTTGGTGTGTGAACTCGGAAAATCGATCAGAATTTATTGGTCACTTAAAACGATCGATAAATTTAGATCAATTTTTCCAAAATAAAATGATTAATAAAAACATCAAAAAATAATATTGGTTCCTTAAACATTTAAAAAGCCCGCGCATAGTGGGAAATTTTCTGTCAATTCTCATTTTAAAAAACCCACTTAAGTTTTAGTTTGCCGACCTATCGCAAATGGCGCTGATTTGTTGCTAGTCGTTAACAAGGGAATTTGCATTTCTTGTATTGAGTGTTCTGTGATTGCGGTAGTGTGCAGTGCTGCCAATCTGAAGGAAAATCCCTGACAGTACGAAAGCCATCGGGAAAGTATCGATTACGCTCCCCTCCTCGATCTGACAACGAATGAAAAAAAAATCATCAGAATTGAGATAGGGTGGGTGGGCGGGGCTTATATATATTTTTTTATTTTAATATGTGTAGACTTCTTTTCACGACATGAAACTTAAAACATGTTTAAAATGGAAAATGTGTTTAAGGAAATATCGAAATATTTCCTTGCAAAAATGTACTATTTTAACCATGTTTTAAGTTTCTTGTTGTGAAAAGATGGCTATATATATTTAGAAAAAAAAAAGCAAAATATAAGCCCCGCCCACCCACCCTATCTCGATTCTGATGATTTTTTTCATTCATTGTCAGATCGAGGAGCGGAACATAATTGCAAAATCAATGTTTCCTTAAACAAATTTTCCATTTTAAACATGTTTTAAGTTTCATGTCGGGAAAAAAGTCTACACAATCATGTTAAAACAAAAAGGCAAAATGTAAGCCCGCCCACCCGCCCTATCTCGATTGTGATGATTTTTTTTATTCGCCGTGAACCAAGGGGGCGGAGCTTAGCTGCAAAATACTTATTTCTTTACACGAAAATAAAAATAAGTTTTTGAGTATCGTGTTGGTCAAAGAACCCTTTGTATATTAAGAAGAAAAGGCAAAATATAAAACCCGCCCACCCACCCCATCTCAATTGTGATGATTTTTTTATTATTTGAATCTTTAAACATGTTTAAAATGGTAAATTTTTGAAAGGAAATACGGATTTCTTACATGGTAGATTCTTGTAGAGAAATAATAAGAATTTTGCAATTAAATTTCGCTCTTTGATTCTCGCCGATTAAAAAAAATCATTACAACTGAGATAGGGCGGGTGGGCGGTACTTATATTTTGCCTTTTTTTTTTAATATACGTAGTCGTCTTTTCAGAACAAGAAACTTACAACATGTTTAAAATGGTAAATTCTTGTAGACAAATATTGAGATCGGGGCGGGTATGGGTGAGGCCTAATGTTTGGCTTTATTTTTTTCTAAATATACATGGTATTCTTTGAACAACACGATACGCAAAAACATGTTTTGTATTTCTTGTAGAGAAATAAGGATTTTGCAATTAAGTTCCGCCCCCTTGGCTCACGACGAATAAAAAAAAATCACAATTGAGATAGGGTGGGTGGGGGGGGCTTATATTTTTTTTCTGTTTTCTTAATATACATAGTTGTTTTTTCAGAACAAGAAACATAAAACATGTTTAAACTGGCAAATTTGAATACGGAAATACCGATTTTGTTATTACGCTCCGCCCCTCGGTCTGACAACGAATGAAAAATTCATCACGATTGAGATCGAGACGGATGGGTGGAGCTTCTGTTTTGGTTTTCTTTTTTAATTAATACATTTATGTAGTTTTCTCTGTAAAACACGATTATTTAAGAACATATTGCACATGGTAGTTTCTCGTAAAAAATATAAGGATTTTACAATTGAGCTCCACCCCTCGGCTTGCGACAAATAAAAAAATCATCAGAATTGAGACAGGGTGGGTGGGCGGGGCTTATAATCTGCCTATTCTTTTCTTAATATACCATTTGACAAAGCGCAAAAAACCTGGAAATGTAGCGGAATTTTTCTGAGACCTGAGAATTGGAAAATTCGAGGATTTTTTGTACATTTTGCCACTTTACTTTATATTCTATTTATTTATACCTAAATGTTATTTTAAATGGCGGGTGTGAAGGTCGTTTTATAAACTTGCCGCTGACGTCGCTGTTCGCCGTTACGTTGCAGTTGTCGTTCCAATCAAATTGCGGTACTGTGCAGTGCTGTCAACCTGAAGGAAAATCTCCAAAACTAGGGGAGACATCGGGAAAGTATCGATTTTGCAGTTATGCTCCGCTCCCCGATCTGATAACGAATGAAAAAAATCATCAGAATTGAGATAGGGTGGGTGGGCGGGGCTTATATTTCGCCTTTTTTTTTAATATGTGTGGACTTCTTTTCACGACATGAAACTTAAAACATGTTTAAAATGGAGAATGTGTTTAAGGAAATATCGAAATATTTCCTTGCAAAAATGTACTATTTTAACCATGTTTTAAGTTTGTTGTTGTGAAAAGATGGCTATATATATTTAGAAAAAAAAAAGGCAAAATATAAGCCCCGCCCACCCACCCTATCTCGATTCTGATGATTTTTTTCATTCGTTGTCAGACCGAGGAGCGAAACGTAATTGCAAAATCAATATTTCCTTAAACAAATTTTCCATTTTAAACATGTTTTAAGTTTCATGTCGTGAAAAAGTCTACACAATCATATTAAAACAAAAAGGCAAAATGTAAGCCCGCCCACCCGCCCTATATCGATCGTGATGATTTTTTTTATTCGCCGTGAACCAAGAGGGCGGAGCTTAGCTGCAAAGTACCTATTTCTTTACAAGAAATTAAAAATATGTTTTTGAGTATCGTGTTGTTGAAAGAACCCTAAGTATATTAAGAACAAAAGGCAAAATATGAACCCCGCCCACCCACTCTGTCTCAATTGTGATTTTTTTTTCTTTGAATCTTAAAACATTTTAACTGGTAAATTTGTATACGGAAATATCGATTTTGTCATTACGCTCCGCCCCTCGGTCTGACAACGAATGAAAAATTCATCACGATTGAGATTGAGACGGATGGGTGGAGCTTCTGTTTTGGTTTTCTTTTTAATTAATACATTTAGTTTTCTTTGTAAAACACAATTATTTAAGAACATATTTCACATGGTAATTTCTCGTAAAAATATAAGGATTTTACAATTAAGCTCCACCCCTCGGCTTCCGAAGAATAAAAAAATCATCAGAATTGATACAGGGTGGGTGGGCGGGGCTTATAATTTGCCTTTTCTTTTCTTAATATGCCATTTGGCCACAACGCAAAAAACCTGGAAATGTAGCGGAATTTTTCTGAGACGTGAGAATTGGAAAATTCTAGGATTTTTTTGTGCATTTTGACACTTTACTTTATATTGTATTTAAAAAATAATATAAATAACATTTATATACACTATTTATAAATGTTATTTTAAATGGCGTTGCAGTTGACGTTCCAATCAAATTGCGGTAGTGTGCAGTGCTGCCAACGTGAAGGAAAATCCCCAAAACTAGGAGAGACATCGGGAAAGTATCGATTTTGCAGTTATGCTCCGCTCGTCGATCTGACAATGAATGAAAAAAATCATCAGAATTGAGATAGGGTGGGTGGGCGGGGCTTATATTATCCGTTTTTTTTCTAAATAGATATAGCCATCTATTCACAACAAGAAACTTAAAATATGGTTAAAATAGTACATTTTGCAAGGAAATATGGATTTTTCAATTATGGGGCGGAGCCTAATTGTAAAATCGATATTTCCTTAAACACATTTTCCATTTTAAACATGTTTTAAGTTTCATGTCGTGAAAAAAGTCTACACAATCATGTTAAAACAAAAAGGCAAAATGTAAGCCCGCCCACCCTCCCTATCTCAAGTGTGATGACTTTTTTTATTCGCCGTGAATCAAGGGGCGGAGCTTAGCTGCAAAGTACTTATTTCTTTACAAGAAATTAAAAATATGTTTTTGAGTATCGTGTTATTCAAAGAACCCTATGTATACTAAGAAGAAAATTCAAAATATAAAACCCGCCCACCCACCCCATTCCAATTGTGACGATTTTTTTTATTCTTTGAAACTTAAAACATGTTTAAAATGGTAAATTTTTGTAAGGAATTATACAAATTTTCCATTTTAAACGTGTTTTAAATTTCATGTTGTGAAAAGAAGTCTGCACATCTTAAAACAAAACAGCAAAATATAAGCCCGCCCACCCGCCCTATCTCAATTGTGATGATTTTTCTTTTTTCGCCGTTAACCAAGGGGGCACAGCTTAACTGCAAATACTTATTTCTTTACAAGAAATTAAAAACATGTGTTTGAGTATCATGTTGTTCAAAAAATACTATGTATATTAGGAAAAAAATGTGAAATATAAACCCCGCCCGCCCACCCCTTCTCAATTGTGATGATTTTTTTTATTTTTAGAAATTTAAAACACGTTTAAAGTGGTAGTTTTTTTGTAGGGAAATATGGATTTTGCAATTAGGCTCCTCCCCTAGATCTGGCAACGAATGAAAACTTCATTACTAGAGATCGTCTGGCCAAAGAATGACATGTTGAGTCATCATAAGTTCCGCACGAGAGAAGGTGGGAGAAAAAAAGGCAACGTTAGAGTATGTATATTATGTTGCATAATTTTGTCCACCCCCTTAAAAATGAACTATAACAGAAATAAGATTTATCTTTTTCGCCGGATTTTCTAATTTAGTACTTCTAAATTTAGATGGAAAAAATAATTAAAAGAAATGTATTCATGAAATATGTACATAAAAAGTTAAAAATTATTAATTAAACTGAGTTCCAGTCTATCGGGTTGCATCCTAGTTTATCAGAATTTTCCTCATCTTCTGATGACGTATATTCCTGATCTTCAAAGTCAGAATCTCTAGTAATTACCATGATTGTTTGAACGACATAATGTACTCTAACACACTTAAAAAAATTAACTAACTATAACGCCACTGAGGGACTCCTTTTTGAAAGTGGACTCGTCCTGTCTCAATTTCCTTCTTTGCGCACTCTTATTGGTGTGCTATACTTACACCGGCCAGACTTTACATATTTATATCAGGGAGGTATGGGTGAGGCTTAATCTTTGACTTTAATTTATTCTTAATACCTATACATAGTATTTTTGAACAACACGACACTCAAAAACATGTTTTTAATTTCTCGTGGAGAAATAAGGATTTTGCAGTTAAGCTCCGCCCTCGTGGCTCACAACGAATAAAAAAATCATCACAATTTTTGGGGCTACATTTTACCTTTTTTTCTTAATATGTGCAGACTTATTTCGACAACAAACTTAAAACATGTCTAAAATTACTATTAACGGCAACTTGGCTACTTTTTCAAAATTGTAGGACCGTGTGACGCAACAAAAAAAACGTCTCTAAAGTGACTGAATTTTAGTTAAACCGGCCCTGTCCCTTTATGATAAATGACAGGCGTCGACCGCATGACGTAACCCTAACCTCACTTTTTCAAATATTTGATCCACAAAATGTTTTTTTCACGTTTTTCCAATAAACTTCTGCAGCCTCTTGTTGCATTTAATGAATTTTACCCACTCATTCGTCGAGTAAAACTATTTCAAACATTTCCGTACGTGTATAAGCAGAGTTTCATTGTAGATCCACCAAAAAAGTGGCACGTTTCCACGGAGAATTTTTTCCGGTATTCAGCCCACCGGTCAAGTCCATTTGGGTAACTACTTCGGGGCGGTTTCCCAGTGGGTGAAACTTCAAGACAATCACGAGGACATGATTTTAAGCGTGGTGGATTTGCACTCGATTACGTTACCCCAGGACCCCAGCACCTTGAGTGATAACATAATGGAAATGACGGCGACTCTACTGGCGTGTGGGGTTGACCCTTCCAAGGTGATTTTGTTTCAGCAGAGTATGGTCCCCGCCCACACTCACTTGACGTGGTGTTTGGGCTGCATATGTACTATGGCTAGGTATGATGGTGAGGAGGCCCCACCGAGTCTCACTCGTTTTTTTAAGATTAGCGCACCTACCGACGTATAAGGAAAAATCGGCGAATTTGAAAGACGTCCCGTTGGGGTTGTATGTGTATCCTGTGTTACAAGCTGCAGATATTTTGGCTTATAAGTGAGTTGATTGGGGGGTGAGGGTCACGTCCGAGTTGTTAGGGCTACGCATGTTCCAGTGGGTGAAGACCAAACGCAAAATATCGAGCTTACGCAGGACTTAGCCAGGATGGTTAATAAGCGTTTTGGGGACACTTTCCCCATACCTCAGGCCATTTACACTAGTAGTGAGTATGCAAGACTTAAAAGTTTGAGAGATCCTACTAAGAAAATGTCCAAGTCGGATTCTGATCCAAAAAGTAGAATCCATTTGGTTGATTCACCTGATGAAATTTTGAAAAAAATTAAAAAGTCTGTGACTGACTTTACAGCTGAGGTGATTTATCAAAGATTTATTAAAACTACTTTTTTTTAATTATTTTAATGTAGGTTGGTTATGACCCTGAATCAAGACCAGGTGTTTCAAATCTTATCAGCATTCACTCTTTTATGACTGGTAAAAGTGTAGATGAAATTTGTGAAGAAGCAAGGACCATGAATACTGGACAGTATGGAAACAAGTTTTATAGAAATTTGAACTAAGATTTATTTTCAGGTATAAACTTCAAGTAGCTGAGGCTGTAATAGCTCATGTACAACCCATACAAAGGAAGATAAATGATTATCTGGACAACCCAGAGTATTTATTAAATGTTCTAAAAACAGGTGCACACAAAGCTACAGAGATTGCAGAAAACACTATTGAAGAAGTGAAAGTGAAAATGGGTCTACAATTTAGAAAAAAGTATGCACAAACGCAACAAAGAACAAATAAGTAATAAATTTGGTGGTTACATGGTTTATTAATTAAAAAAAAAAAATAATGAAAACATGTGAATAAAAAAACTCAATTAGGCCTACAAGTCTAAGGAATTTGGAAAACCGTTGCATAATGAACATTGAACCAACATTACATGTATATATATAGAAATTATACTTTGATTCTCTACCATATTTTCACACTAATTACTGTAGACTCTATAGAATACTCAACTATGAAGATAAAACTCAATTCTTCTCCTCGCCACTTAGATGCTGATCGAAAACGTTAGCATGCACCAATATGATGGAACCCTCCAGAATGTGATCAGCGACATTTTTAATAAAAATAAATTCGGGGAAACTTTCACTGTCTTCAAAAGTAACAACAACATTACTGGTTTTACATTCGTTAAAATCGAACGCCTTCACGTTATCGTCTTTCAGAATGGCGATGGGTTTTTCAGGATCAAGCGAAAAATTCTCAATCGAGTTGACGGCTTTCTCTTTCAACATTTCAACCAACTCATCTCTGTCAATCTCCTCTTTAATTTCCACGTCTTCGTCGTCGTCGTCGTCTTTACCCAATCTGTTCAAAACCACTTTGCAATTTTTGATGTTGGTCAAATCGACAGTCTCGAGATTCTTCCCCTTTTTCCCTCTTCCCCCTTTTTTAGCAGGCGTCTTGGTTTCTTCGCCCTTCGGTTTTCTCCCCCTTTTAGCCGGCGTCTTCTTCACTTCAAAACTCTCCTCCTCCATCATTTCTTCGTCGCTTTGTATCTCCTCCTTGGGCTCAATCAACTCATGCACCTCTTCTTCGATCTCATCCTTCACCTGAGTGTCATCAAAAGCCTTTCCTTTCTTCCCTCTGGCTTTCTTTGTTTTCTTCACCGCCCCCGGATCATCCTCCTCTTCACTCTCCCCCATGTCAAAGTCTTCCTCATCGAACTCACTGTCCTCATCGCTGAAGTCAGTTTCTTCTTCAGACTCTGAATCTTTATTTTTTCTGCGCTTTCTCCCACCTGCTCCGTTCGAAATGGGGCCCTTTCTCTTGATGAACTTCTTGTTGCCTTCAGGGTGATTAGCAATGATCGCGCTCAACTGAGATATACTTAGAAGGTCCTGACGCTTGGACCCGTCGTCCTTCCCATCCTTCGAGTTCTTCTTTGTGTTGAAAATGTTTCTCAGAGTCATGTACTGCTGCAAGTGCCAATCCAGCTGGGTCTCAAAATCTTTGATGATGAGTTTCGTGTTCTCCAGACACTTGCGAGTGTTGTCCACCTCCACTTGGGTGAAATAGGAGATGTCCTCGCAGTCGCTATCCTCGTGGAACCCGTTACTCACGGTGAACTCCTTCGGGATGATGGGCGGTTCGATGGAGTCCAGCGGGTCTGTGGGCTCGGTTTTCACGGCGACTTCGTCCAGACCGTTCACAACTGGCTGCTCTTCAGCCATCTCTGCGGTTTGTGTACGATACGTGAACTCTTATGCAAAAACCTGAGAAGGAAACTGCGTTGTAGTAAAAACTACGCTGAAAAACGAAAGGAACAGCCCTTGAACCATGGGTGCATTATGGCGGTTCCTTCCGTGTTTTCGTTCGATTGTTTACGTTTGCGAATTTACCTTGGCGGCGTGGAAATCGACGAAGGTTGTGCGTGGCGGTACTGCGGCGGGGATTTGTTGGATTTTCGCTCTTGGAACGGCTTCTGTGCGAGTAAATCGAGAAAAATTGGAAAACATCAACGGATCAACGACGCCATTTACCGCAACAAACTTGATTTGACGCTTTGACAAATGACAGCGAGGAGTTGGGGAGAAGGTGCTGCCAACAGAACAACAAAATCGCCAAGGCGGCGAATTTCAATCAAGGTTTTTTGCTAAAGAAAAAAAATTACGATTACAGCAAAATAACTAAACACTCAGTACTCTAATTAAAACACAGGAATGCTTAATCATGTAGGTATTATTTTCTAGGAAGGTTTTATTTTGCAAAGTAGGATAACAAATGATTTTTGGAATTGTTGAAATTCTTGATATTGTTGAGTATCTTGGATTTTTGAAATTCTTGGATTGCTTGCATTTCTTGGATTTCTCGAATTTTTTGTGAATTTTTTGGATTTCTTGGATATAGTTGGATACTTTGATTCTTGGAATTCCTGCCATTCTTGGATTTCTTGGAATTCCTGACATTTTTGGGATTCTTGGAATTTTTGGGATGCTTAGGATTCCTGGAATTCTTGAGGTTTTTGGGTTTTTCGGATTTCTTAGAATTTTTAGGATATTTGGAATTCTTGAGGTTCTTGGATTGCTTGCATTTATTTGGGTTGCTTGGATTTTTTGAGATTCTGGATTTCTTTGACTTTTTGAATTTCTTGGATTTTTTAGATTCCTTTGAATGAACTCTTGGAATTCTTCGATTTTCTTTATTTCTTGGATTTCTTTGAATTCTTGCACTTCTTGGAATTTTTGATATTTTTCGGATTTTTTGGTTTCTTGGGATTCTTGAATTTCTTCTGAATCTTGAGATTCTTAGGTTCTTGAAACTTCTGAGATTCTTGGAATTGTTGAAATTGTTGATATTCTTGGGTCTCTTGGACTTTTAGGAATTCTTAGGATCCTTGAAAATCTTGGGTTTCTTGGATTTTTTGGAATTCATAGATTCCTTGGGTTTCTTGAATTTCTTGGAATTTTTAAAAATCCTGAATTTTTTGGATTCCTTGGATATATGTATTTGGATTCTAGGGATTCTTGAAATTCCTGGCAGTCCTGGATTTCTTGTGATTCTTGAGATTTTTGTGATTTTTGGGATTCCTGGAATTCTTGAAGTTCTTTGGTTTCTCGGATTTCCTAGAATTTTTAGGATATTTGGAATTATTGAGATTCTTGGATTCTTGCATTTCGTGGATTTTTTAGATTTCTTGGGTTGCTTGAATTTCTTGGAATTTTTGGAATTCTTGAATTAGGATTTCTTGGATTTCTTTGAATTCTTGGAATTCTGGAAATTTTTGATATTTTTCGGATTGTTGGATTCTTGGAATTCGTGACATTCTTGGGATTATTGGAATTCTTGGATTTTTGGAATTCTTAAATTTCTTGGGTTTCTTGAAGTTCTAGGAATTTTTAAAATTTCTGAATTTTTGGATTTCTTGGGATTCTTGGAATTCCTGACATTTTTGGATTTCTTGTGATTCTTGAAATTTTTGGGGTTCTTGGAATTTTTGGGAATTTTGGGATTCCTGGAATTCTTGAGTTTCTTGGATTTCTCGAATTTCTTATAATTTTTGGAATGCTTGCCTTTCTTGTATTTCTTGGAATTCTTAAATTTCTTGGGTTGCTTTGATTTCTTAAGATTCTGAGTTTCTTTGAATTTTTCAATTTCTTGGATTTTTTAGATTTTTTTGAATTCTTAGATATCTTGAGTTTTGGATTTCTTGGGTTTCTTGAATTTCTTGGAATTTTTAAAATTCCCGATTTTTGGATTTTTTGGGATTTCTGGAACTATAGAGGTTCTTGGGTTTCTTAGAATTTTTAGGTTATTTGGAATTCTTGACATTCTTGGCTTTCTTGCCTTTCTTGCATTTCTTGGAGTTCTTAGATTTCTTGGAATTTTGGAATTCTTGAATTTTTAAATTTCTTGAATTTCCTTGAATCTTTGGGATTCTTGGATTTTTTCTAAGATTCTTGGGACTTTCAAAATTCCTGCCATTCTTGGATTTCTTGTGATTTTGGTATTTTTCGAGTTCTTGATTTTTTTTTATTTTTTGGATGTCTTCGAATTCTCGGAATTCTTGGAATTTCTGATATTTTTCGGATTGTTTTTTCTTGGAATCCGTGACATTCTTGGATTTCTTCGAATTCTTGATATTCTTGAATTTTTGGGAATTCTTAGGATTCGTTCTAGAATTTCTTGGAATTTTTAAATTCCTGAATTTTTTTGGATTTCTTGGACATAGTTGGATACTTTGATTCTTGGAATTCCTGCCATTCTTGGATTTCTTGGAATTCTTGGAATTTTTGTAATGTTTAGGATTTCTGGAATTATTGAGATTTTTGGGTTTTTCGGATTTCTTAAAATTTTTAGGATATTTGGAATTCTTGAGGTTCTTGTATTGCTTGGCTTTCTTGCATTTCTTGGAATTCTTAGATTTCTTGGGTTGCTTAGATTTCTTGTGATTTTAGATTTCTTTGACTTTTTGAATTTCTTGTTTTTTTAAATTCTTGATATTCTTAGGTCCCTTGGATTTTTCGGAATTCTTACTATTTGGAATTATTAGATTCCTTGGGTTTCTTGAATTTATTGGAATTTTGAAAATTCCTGAATTTTTTGGATTTCTTGGATATATGCATTTGTATTCTAGGGATTCTTGGAATTCCTGGCATTCCTGGATTTCTTGTGATTCTTGAGATTTTTGGGATTCTTGGGATTCCTGGAATTCTTGAAGTTCTTCGGTTTCTCGGATTTCTTAGAATTCATAGGATATTTGGTATGCTTGAGATTCTTGCATTTTTTGGAAGTTTTAAGTTTCTTGGGTTGCTTGAATTTCTTGCAATTTTTGAAATTCTTGAATTTGGATTTCTTGGATTTCTTTGAATTCTTGGAATTCTGCGAATTTTTGATATTTTTGGGATTGTTGGATTCTTGGAAATCTTGGAATTGGTGACATTCTTGGATTTCTTCTGATTCTTGAGATTCTTGATTGTTAGAATTTTTGAGATTCCTGGAATTGCTGAAATTCGTGATGTTCCTAGGTCTCTTGGATTTTTTGAATTCTTAGAATCCTTGGGCTTTTTAAATTCCTTGGATTTCTTGAATTTCTAGGAATTTTTTGAATGTCTTGGGATTTTTGGAATCCTGATATTCTTGGAGTTCTTGTGATTCTTGAGATATTTGGGATTCTTGGAATTTTTGGGAATTTTGGGATTCCTAGAATCTTTGAGTTTCTTGGGTTTCTCGGATTTCTTAGAATTTTTAGGATATTTTGAATTCTTGAGATTCTTAGAATGCTTGCCTTTCTTGCATTTCTTGGAATTCTTGGATTTTCTAGATTTCTTGGAATTCTTGGAATTTTTGATATTTTTTAGATTGTTGAATTCTCGGGATTCTTGGTGTTCGTAACATTCTTGGATTTCTTCTGATTCTTGGAATTCTTAGATTATTGGGTCTCTTGGATTTTTTGGAATTCTTAGATTCCTTGGGTTTCTTGAATTTCTTGGAATTTTTAAAATTCCTGATTTTTTGGATTTCTTGGGATTTCTGGAACTCTAGAAGTTCTTGGGTTTCTTAGAATTTTTAGGCTATTTGGAATTCTTGGATTTCTTGCTTTTCTTGCATTTCTTAGATTTCTTGCAATTTTTGAATTCTTGAATTTTTAAATTTCTTGGATTTTCTTGAATCCTTGGGATTCTTGGTTTTTTTTTAGATTCTTGGAATTCTTAGAATTCCTGCCATTCTTGGATTTCTTGTGATTGTTGAGATTTTTGGGATTCTTAGGATTCCTAGAATTCTTGAAGTTCTTCGGTTTCTCGGGTTTCCTAGAATTCTTTTTGGTATTCTTGAGATTCTTGCATTTCTTGGAATTTTTAGATTTCTTGGGTTGTTTGGATTTCGTGGAATTTTTGGAATTCTTGAATTTGGAATCTTGGAATTCGTGACATTCTTGGATTTCTTCTGATTCTTGAAATTCTTGATTGTTAGAATTTTTGAGATTCCTGGAATTGCTGAAACTCTTGATATTCTTAGGTCTCTTGGATTTTTTGGAATTCTTAGGATCCTTGGGATTCTTGGATTGCTTATATTTCCTGTAGGTAATTCTTGGATTTTCTGGGATTCTTAAATTCCTTGGGTTTCTTGAATTTCTAGGAATTTTTAAAATTTCGGAATTTTTTTGGATTTCTTGGGATTCTTGGAATTCCTGACATTATTGGAGTTCTTGTGATTCTTGAGATTTTTAGGATTCATGGAATTTTTGAGAATTTTGGGATTCTTGGAATTCTTGAGTTTCTTGGGTTTCTCGGATTTCTTATAGAATTTTTAGTATATTTGAAATTCTTGAGATTCTTGGATTGCTTGCATTTCTTGGAATTCTTAGATTTCTTGGGTTGCTTGGATTTCTTGGAATTTTGAAATTCTTGATTTTTGGATTTCTTGGATTTCTTTGAATTCTTAGGCTTCTTGGATTTTTTTAGATTCTTCGGATTCTTAGAATTCCTGCCATTCTTGGATTTCTTCTGATTCTTGAGTTTTTTGTGATTTTGGTATTTTTGGAATTTTTTATTTTTTCGATTTCTTTGAATTCTTCGAATTTTTGATATTTTTCGGACTGTTGAATTCTTGGAATTCGTGACATTCTTGGGTTCCTTCTGATTCTTGAGATTGGATTCTTGGAATTTTTGAAATTCTTGATATTCTTGGGTCTCTAGCATTTTTTGGCGTTTTTAGAATTCTGGAACTCTTGGATGCTTGCATTACTTGGATTTCTTGGATTTTTTGGAATTCTTAGATTCCTTAGGTTTCTTGAATTTCTTGGAATTTTTTAAAAAATTGAAATTTTTGTATTTCTTGGATATACATATTTGGATTCTTGGGATTCTTGGAATTCCTGACATTCTTGTCGGAGGGTTGAAATTCTTAGAATTTTGGAATTCTTAATTTTTTAATTTCTTGGATTTCTCTAAATCGTTAGGATTCTCGGAATTTTTTAGATTCTTGAGATTTTTGTGTTTTTGTTATTTTTGGAATTTTTGAATTTCTTTAAATTCTCGAAATTCTTGTAATTATTGGGATCCTTGACATTCT